TGTGTATGTGTGTATGTGTGTATGTGTGTATGTGTGTATGTGTGTATGTGTGTATGTGTGTATGTGTGTATGTGTGTGTGTGTGTGTGGGTGGGTGGGTGTGTGTGTGTGTGTGTGTGTGTGTGTGTGTGTGTGTGTGTGTTGAATTGTTGGCCCTCTCGGAAGCCTTTTTAAAGGGCCCTCAGGGGGCTCCTGCAAGGCCTCGAGAGGCCCAGGGGGGCCTTAGAGGGCCCCAAGATGGCTCCAAGAGGGCCCAAAATCTAACACAGCACCAGTACCACGGGCAGCCCAGGCAGTACCAGCAGCATCAACGCCAGTAACGCCAGCAGCAACAGCAACATCTGTAGCAAAGACAAGGAGGGCAGCAACGGAAAGGTGATTCCAAGACGAACCCAGTGTCTTCCGACTGATATAATGCTACCGCGTGACCCCGATTTTCTCCAATCAGTGCTTGCACTGAAGGAGTCCTAGCGGACATTGATGGATTTGGCGAAAATTCTGGGCCGGTTTGGGTAGGCGGCCGGGTTCCCGGGCTCCGGATTCCGAGTTTCAGGTTCCTGGTTTCTGGTTTTGGGCCGATTTCGGTGAGCGGCGGGGTTCCCTGGATTCCATGTGTTGGGTCCCGAGTTCCCGGGTTCCTGGTGGATCTCACTATCGATGTCATTATCGATATCACCATCCATCTCATTTAATCGATCTCCTCACCATCGATCTCACGAGCGACCTCACTCTCGGTATCACTATCGATCCCACGATCGATCTCGCTGTCGATCACGCTACCTATGCGACCACCCTTCGGGTGATAAGGAGGTTCGGGGGGGGGAGGAACCAACGTCTCACTCGATCGGTCTCAGCATCGATCTTACGATCGATCTCACCATCGGTCTCGCTCGATCGATCCCACTCGATCGATCTCACAATCGATATCACTCGATCTATGTCATTCGATCGATCTCACAATCGATACGACTATCGATATCACCATCGATCTCACTATCGATCCCAGTGTCGATCTCACAATATATCTCACATTCGGTCTCACTATCATCGGGACACCATCATCATCATCACCTCATCACCATCATCATCCACGTCAGCATCATCACCATCATCATCATCGGGACACCATCATCGTCACCATCATCATCAACATCATGATCATCGGGACAGAATCATCATCATCGAAACACCACCACAATCATCATCATCATCATCTCATCACCATCATGAACAACATTGTCAACAGCATCATCATCGGAACACCATCATCATCAGCAACCTCATCATCAACATCATCATCATCGGGACACCATCATCACCGTTACCATCATCATCACCACCACCATCATCGGGACACCATCATGTTCATCATCAACAACTGCATCATCGTCATCATCGGGACACAATCATCAAAATCAGCATCACCTCATCATCATGCTCATCATCAACATCATCATCATCATCATCGAACACCATCATCGTCATCATCATCAACATCATCATCGGGACACCATCATCATCATCACCGTCATAATCATCAACAGCATCATCAACCTCATCATCATCGTCATCGGGACACCATCATCATCAGCAACATCATCATCATCATCTCATCATATCATTATCATCAACATCATCAGGATCATCAACATCATCATCATCATTTTCATCGAGACACCATCATCATCATCAGCAATATCAGCATCATCAACGTCATCATCATCGGGACACCAGCCTCATCATCACCATGGCCATCATCATCATCACCATCATCATCACCACCTTCACAATCATCGGGACACCATCATCATCACCATCAGCATCATCATCATCATCATCGGGACACCATCATCATCGGAACACCACCATCACCATCATCATCTCTTCATCATCAACATCATGAACAACATCATCAGCATCATCATCATCATCGGGACACCATCATCATCAGCAACACCATCATCATCAACATCATCATCGGGACACCGTCATCATCGTCACCATCATCATCATCACCATCATCATCATCGGGACACCATCATCATCATCAACATCAGCATCATCATCGGGGCATCACAATTTAAATCATCATCATCACATCATCATCATCCTCATCATCAACATCATCATCATTATCGGGACACCATCATCGGCATCATCATCGTCATCAACAGCATCATCATCGGGACACCATCATCATCACCATCATCATCATCAAGGGCATCATCATCAACATCATCATCGGGACACCATCATCATCAGATTCATCATCATCATCATCTCATCATCTCATCATGATCGTCAACATCATCACGATCATCAACATCTTCGTCATCATCATCGGGATACCATCATCATCAGCAACATCATCATCAACATCATCATCGGGACACCATCATCATCACCACCATGGCCATCATCATCATCATCATCATCATCATCATCATCATCATCAACATCGTCATCATCATCATCGGGACACCGACGGGACACCGGCTGGACACCAGCGGGACACCGCGCGGCACCGGTTGCCGGAAGGGAGACTTTTGGTCCGGCCGCGCCTCACCCAGAGGCGGGACATTTCTCGCCCGCCCACGCAGCTTCGCCTCGCCCGCACGCACGGCACGCACGAATACGAAACCGAGACCGATTTCCCGGTTGGGGGGGCTCTCCGTTCCACTTCGATCTCACCCCCTCACCTCCGATTCATGTCTCCATCAATCTCACCATCGATCTCACGATCGATGCTACGAACGATCACACGATCGATCTCACGATCGCTCTCACGATCGGTCTCACGATCGATATCATCATCGATGTCACTATCGATCTCACTAGCGATATCACTAGCACTCCCCTTATCGGCCTCACGATCGATCTCACTGAATCGATACCACTATCGAACACACGATCGATCTCTCGATCGACTTCACCATCGATCACACTCAATCGATAACACTGGCCATCTAACCATCGATATCACTATCGATCCTGGTACCGATCTCACTATCGATCTCACTCGATATACCTCACTACCAACCTCATTATCGACATCACTATCGATCTCACGATCAATCTCGCTTTCGATCTCATTCAATAGATCTCAGTATCGATCGCACTATCGATCTCACTATCGCTGGCATGACAGTGCATAGCATATATCATAGCACGGAACACCCACGCGCCACGGGACATCACGGGACACCACGGGACACCATCGGGACACCACAGGGCCACTGCTGGCCAACACGGGGGACAGCAACATGTTGTTCGGCTTCGCCCTGGCAACGGCGAGTTAATTCCTCTCGCCCGCCCACGCAGGTTCGCCTCGCCCGCGCGCGCGACACAAACGTGCATCCGAAACAAATATCCCAGTGGTGGGGTCTCCGTTTCACTGCGATGTCACCCCCCAACCTCCGATATGTATAGAGAGGGTGAGAGAGAGAGAGAGAGAAAAAAAAAAAAAAAAAAAAGTGAAAGAGAGAGAGAACCAAACAAGTGTGGTAAGGGAGGCGGGGTAAAGAGAGAGATAGAGAGAGAGAGACAGGGACAGAGATAAAGTCCGTGTAGGTATGTATATATACATAAATATGTATATGTGCACAGAAAGATACGATGAATAATACACAGATATAGAGAAATAGAGAGAGAGACCAATCAGTGCTAGCACTGAAAGAGTCCGAGCGGAGATTGAAAGATTTGGCGAAAACTCTGGGCCGATTTCGGAGGGTGGCCGGCTTCCCAGGTTCCCGGGTTCCTGGTCGATCTTCTTATCGATCGGTCTCACCATCGATCTCATTATCCACTTCTGTATCGATCTCACTATCGATCTCACAATCGACCTCACTATCAATCTCACAATCGATCCCACTGTCCATCTCACGAGCGATCTCACGATCGATCTCATGATCGATCTCATTATCGATCTCATTGAATCGACTTCACTATCGGTCTCACGGTCGACTTTACAAGCGCCCTCATGATCGACTCCACTATCGATCTCACAATCGATCTCTATATATCCCTATCACTCATTTTCAAACGATCCACTGATTGGGGTTTTTCTCCGGTGTAATTACTTACTCCGAGGTGGCCCCGGGACGACCTCATGAGCCCGAGACGACTTCGAGATTGCCCCAAGATGACCCCTTTAACCGTAGCTGGCCCCAAGATCGTGTCAATATGGCTTCAATGTGACTCCAAAGCGTTTTTCCCTTTTGCCCTTGCTCTTGGCTTGGGCCAATAGGACGGATGGGGGTGCTGGCCCTCCGCCCCCCCGTCATATTCTTCCTCCTGCCCCTCGTCCTCGTCGCCTTCGTCGTCGTCGTCGTCGTCGACGCTGTCCGCCTGGCCCCCTGGCCCAA